AACCCTAAAAAATCATTTCCCTCCTCACTCACAAACCCCTCACCTCCTCCACCTCCTTCTTCTCCCTCCCCCAAAAAACCTCCTAAAAAACCTCAAAACTAAAGAAATCAAAACCTTACACGACTTGCAAAATGACGTCAAATGACAATAGAATGGTAGTTTACGAGCAAGGAGAAACCATTAAGGTATGTATTCATGTATTTTTTGAGCTAAAACATCGATTTTGATTCTTTTTTTTTTTAATTCGCCATCAATTTTTGACACATACAGGTCGAAAATGTGCTTATTTTTCGACATGTATATGTCGAACAACATAATAATTGATATTTTATTCATTTTCGACACTTCAGTGTGGAAAATAGCAGTAACATTCGACAGTTACCCGTCAAATTTTGCTACTATTTTCGACACTTAAGCGTCGAAAATGACCCCTATTTTTCGACACTTAAGTGTCGAAAATGACCCCTATTTTCGACACTTAAGTGTCGAATTTGCCCATATTTTCGACACTTATGTGTCGAAAGTATGGGACATTTTCGACACTTAGGTGTCGATTTTTTGCCTGTTGCAAATTTACTTATCTTATATTTTCTCCACTTTTGTGTAGATCGATTGCACCCATTCCTTTACCACGTCAGAAAAATTCCCAACAAAAGAAGCTTTATTGGCATGGGTTCGTGAAGTATGTAAAAGAATTGGAATGGTGTTAATGATTGCGGGTTCGAGTGACGGGGATAGAGGACGTAGGACACTGTATGTGATTGTTCGTTGTGAGCGTGGGAGCCATTATGTTGGCAAGAAGGTACCAGGTGAAGATGATCAAAGACCGGGAAAAAGGAGCACCGGTTCAAAGTAATGCAATTGTCCGTTTAAATTGAAGGGGACAAAAGAACCCAAGGATAATGAAAAGGCTGAGTGGAAATTGGATGTTTATAGTGGTATTCACAACCACAACTTATTTGAAAACTTGAACGGACACTCTTATACTGGAAGATTATCAAAGGAGCGGACTTCCTTTGTTCACACTATGAAGAAAGCAATGGTGAAACCAAGGGCAATTCTAAGATTATTGAAGGAAAAGGACCCGTCTAATGTAACTGGTATAAAGACAGTTTACAATACTATCTCTAAGTTAAATTTCAGTGAATTGTCTGGGAGATCTCAATTGCAATTATTGTTCGTCAAGTTGAAAGAAGATGAATACCTCTCGTACCATAGATCGAACGAGTTGAATGCGATTACCGACTTGTTGTGGATCCACCCGAAATGCATTAAGTTGGCACAGTCGTATCCGTACGTATTCATCATCGATTGCACGTACAAGACCAATCGTTACGGACTCCCATTTCTTGAGATTGTGGGTTTTACTTGTACCAACATGACGTTCTCCATTGCCTTTGCATACTTGGATCACGAAAAAACGGAAAATTTCGAATGGGCATTGCGTTGTTTGAAGGAGGCCATGACAAGTTGTCCTTGGCCTAATTGCATTGTAACAGATCGAGATTTGGCTTTAATGAAAGAGTGCCCAATGTGTATCCATCGAGTCATCACTTGTTGTGTCGGTGGCATGTGAACAAGAATATATTGGCCAATTGTAAGAAATTGTTCACAAAGGACATCACCAAATGGAAGCAATTTCAGTTGGCTTTTTCGGCTCTTATTGAAAGAAATACCATAGAGGAGTTCAATGAGGATTGGGAGTCAATGAAAATAACATTTATCGGTTATCCCCCGGCTATAGCATATGTAGCTAATTCATGGTTGGATCCGTACAAGGAGAGACTTGTATTGGTGTGGACAAATAAGTGTACTCATTTTGGAACGTACACTTCTAATAGGGTGGAGGGGGCACACGGACGAATGAAAAGGGATGTGCATAATTCAACTGGCACCTTTGTGGATTTGTATACAAAAGCCCACAACCAAATTGTCGAACAACACAATGACATCAAAGCTTCTTTTGAAGTAAGTAAAAATACTTACGAACACACTTTCAAAACGTTGATATACAATGAGCTTCGTGGAAGTATCTCAAAATTCGCTCTGCAACTACTCAAAGTTGAGGTGGACAATGCGAAACTATTGCAACCGAGCGATATGGGTTGTAGTTGCGCCATCCGAACAACTCACGGTCTACCATGTTGCCATGAACTTCATGAGTATGTTGTTGTGAACAAATGTCCTATCTGACTTTAGTTAATAGGCTCGTATTGGAAACACATGAGCATGGAGCCTGTCGCGACCACAGACGAAGTCATCCTACCAACCATCGACGAAGAATTATCGGAATACCAGAAGCTCTTTGAATGTGCCGATCTCGATGCAAAAACTCAATTGCGCAACCATTTGAGACATTTTACCCACCCAGAGAAGACTAACCTTACGGAGCCAAGTGAAAAAGTTGTTAGCAAAGGTCGACCGGCAAATAATAGGAAAGACAAATCAAGCACTCGTGACAAATCACATTTTGAGTATGTGAAGCCAAAGAAAAAAAATCGAAGCAAGCTAGTTGTTCTCCAAAGGTAAATGTCGCTACTATCGTCTCATTTCATTGTAGTGGTTGTATTTTATAATTGTGCTAAGTAATTTTGTGTAATATACTGCAGCTTATACCTTTCAAACAACCTGTACTGAAGAGATTAAGAGTGCCCTCGAATGATTCTATTAACACTATACCAACTCAAGAGTCAGGAAAAAAACACTATACCGACGCAAGAGTCGTTCAAACTATTATTTGAAGATGCAGATGTGGGATTGCCACCAGGTTTGATCGGCAAGAATAAGAACATTGAGACGATCCATCCACGATTTCGTATGCATGTTCGAGAAATCATCAATGTCGGTTCAGATGGACACTGTGGATTTCGGGCAGTTGCCTCTATAATGGGATTTGGAGAACATGAATGGGGTCGAGTACGAGATGACATGCTACGGGAGTTGACTTCTAATTTTTCCATTTACACGGCCATGCACCGTGGCGAAGAAACCGTTAGAAGCATACAAACTATTGTGAGTAACTGGGATGTTCCTGCCACTCGTGACCATTGGATGTCTTTTCCAAATATGGGTCATGTAATTCCTTCAACATACAATATTGTGCTTGTCTACTTATCCAAGTATCAGTGTCTCACGTTTCTTCCTCTATCGAGCGATCCAATGCTTTTCAGAGAGAGACAAGAGCACGGGATGGCATTCGTCGACAACTGTCACTTCGTGCATGTTGTCTTAAACAACAATTGTCCAATACCTCCTATCGCCGATTATTGGTACCGATGCCATGATCCTAAAGCTGATGGTTGGAAGCCTGCAGAAATGGATGGTCGGATTACAACATTCCGAGAACTAATAGGTCAAAATGTTGCCACGCTAGAGAGTTTCGAGATTATTATTATATCGGACAATGGTGATAGTTCTCCGAACAAAACTATGTAAAGTTACTGGTGCTAGTTTCAATGTTATTAAGTGTTGTGTTTTATTTTTCAGTCTATTTCAATGTTTTTTTTTTTTTTTTTTTTGATAAATTGCAATTTTTCGTTTTTTTTGTGAAATTAACCCCAAATCTATTGCAATGTAACATAAAAAACATATTCTAAGTGTTTTTGGACAAAAAAAATAAAAATTTCAAATTATCGAAAAAAAATAAAATTGAAACAGACTAGATTCGACAGCTATCTGTCGAATTCCATCTGTTTCAATTTTTTTTTATTTTTTTTTGATAAATTGCAATTTTTCATTTTTTTTTAGAAATTAACCCCAAATCTATTGCAATGTAACATAAAAAACATATTCTAAGTGTTTTTGGACAAAAAAATAAAAATTTCAAATTATCGAGAAAAAAAAAAATTGAAACAGACTAGATTCGACAGCTAGCTGTCGAATTTCAATACCAATTCGACAGCTAGCTGTCGAATTTAAATACAAATTCGACAGCTAGCTGTCGAATTCCGTCTGTTTCAATTTTTTTATTTTTTTTGATAAATTGCAATTTTTCGTTTTTTTGAGAAATTAACCCCAAATCTATTGCAATGTAACATAAAAAATATATTCTAAGTATTTTTGGACAAAAAAAATAAAAATTTCAAATTATCGAAAAAAAAAATTGAAATAGGCTTGTTTCGACATGACCGTATGAGCGTCGGATGAGCGTAAGTCCCCGCACCTCGCTAAGTGTACCCTTCACCAACTCCAAAATTTATGAAAGTTGGACCTCCTTATCGGTACCACCCCCTGGACGAGCTTCACGTGGTCGAGGTCGATCCGCATGTGGTCGAGGTGGATGGGCTCCCTACTGAGTTGTAACATGCATCTGGGTCGGAACCAATTCATATAGTCCGGCGAAGTGTCCGCCTCCCCGAGTTCAACTTCAACGGACCTCGACTCCTCGTCCAGACAATGCTCCTCCCACCGATCAGAGAATCGTTCGCCATACGCAGCGAATATTGAGTTCTGGACTGATCGACCTTTGTTAACTAGAGCTTTGTACATATCTTTTGACATGTATACACGACCTGGAATAATTTGCACCCGGTTGAACTGCCTCAACACTCTGTCCGAATGATATGCCTCGAAATGGTCCATGCAACATATCATCCCACTAAACCAAACAGAATCTGGCATCGGGAAACGATCACGAATAGCCGTATACGGTGACCATAAAACCTAGTAAAATAAATAAAAAATTAGATTTAGAAACCTACTTAAGTAGTAATAACAAATTATTAAACTGGTATTTTACCTGATCGGGGATCAAATCATCTAATCGAGATCGCAAGTACGACGCTCGTTCAGGCGTTGAAGTAGTCTTTGACTGAGGCTCCCATCGGCTCGCTAATGGCCCCTCGAATTCCGTCTTCAATGTGCCACCCGCCAAATAAGGAAAGTGCTCATAAATACATGATTGAAAGAGCGTCAGCCAGCCAGCCATCGAGTTCGTTGATTTTTGTGAGGCTGACGAAAGCTCATCGTACAACCGGCAAAGACATGCAGTTCCCCAAGCATACTCGCCGATCCGATCCAAATCAGAGACGAGATTTAGATACTCCACGCTTACCATGTTGCCTGTCTTGTCGCACAGTATAGTACACGAGAGCAAAAATAACAAATACGCCCGAATGGCGTATGTCCTCTTATCAGCACTATCTCTCGTGGTCACCTCGCTAAATATAGTCTTCAACCATTCCATCTTCACCGCTTTCTTCTTGTCTACATCGTCCGGGTACTCACCTAGCATTTCGAACATCAAACTACTGGGCTTCGTTTTAGAATCACCGATCAAACGCTCGCAAGATACGGTACGTCCAACAACTGGCAAACCGACCAACGTACTCACATCATCAAGTGTGATGGTCATCTCTCCAACAAGTAAATGAAATGTGTTGGTAGCTGGCTGCCATCTCTCTATGAAGGCTCTAAGTAGATGGTCGTCCACAGTGTTGTACGATGCTTCTACAACTAACATTAATCCAGCTCTTTGTACTGCCTCTGTAATAAACGGCGTCGGCACCCAGCCTTTCAAAGTTCCTGTGTGATTTCGAATTCGAAATTCTGAGCCGCGCTCTGGCCCTTCGTTCACAATATGATAAGCAATGTGCTTATCAAAATTTGTGTACAATTCCGGTATCTCGGGACCTCGGACCGGTTCGTTGCTCGAATCACCAACTTCTATAGTCGAAGGTAGAGCTGGCACCGGATTCATTGAGGAAGAACCCTCTCCAAACTTCTTCTTGGTCGTGGTCTTTTTCTTGGTCGTGATTGCCTTGCCCTTGCCTCAATCGGATAATTCCTTCCTCTTCTTACGGTTCGAGACAGTCGGAGGTATACGAGGTTCACGTGGTTCTTCCACTGCAAAATAACACACAAAAAAAAATAAATAAACATAATATAAACACAAGCAAATGAAAATAGGAAAGAAAACAAATTAATAAATTAAAAAAAAAAAAAAATTACACAGAAATAATTCGACAAAACACTGTCGAAAATTAGTTGAAAATTCGACAGCTAGCTGTCGAATTCGCAACCCATTTTCGACAGTGTTCTGTCGAATTATCAAACATTCAATTCAAAAATTTCAAAACAATCGACAACTATATGTCGATTTTTGATGAATTTTCGACATCAATCTGTCGAAAATTTTGAAAAAATCGACATATACAGGTTGAATATTGTGAACGAAGAACCGACCCACGAATCTCAAATCAATGCTCAAATCGACTGAAATCAGATGCACCCATTACTAATTAACGATCATTCCTACCTAAAACAACCAAATCCTAATTACCCATATCAAACAATCAAATCCTAAATAAATATTAAACAAAAAAAAATCGAAAACAAATATTACTTGTACAACAAAGACGGCGGCGGCTTGATAACAATGGATTCAGCGGCGGCGGTGTTCGGCGACGTTCGGCGGTGTTCGGCGGTGTTTGGCGGCGGCGTCCGGCGGCGGCGAGGGTTGGAGCTGCGGTGACATCCGGCGGCGAGTGTTGGAGCGGTGGAATGAAATGTTTTTTTTTTTTTTTTTGGTTTTAGAATAGGTAATTTAAAAAAAAAAATTGATATAATTGATATTTTGTATGAAAGGTGTTTTTGTACTTTTCTTTTTATTTTGGTATTAAAGTAAGAAAAAAACTTATAAATATGTACTCAATTGTGGTTTTAAACTTGGTAGTATTCAAATAAGCAAAAGTTGGGATTTGAAATAGTTGACCCCTAACCGAAATTGTGCTTTGTCCAAACTGCCCTCCATGTTAAACAATTAAAAAACATCTCAAAACAAAAAATAATTAAAAAGAAAATATATTAATTGGAAATGTCATATTTTAACCCTCCACTGTACCGCCGAAGTTCACCATTGTAGGCGGCGACGTGGGGCCCGCAGCAGTGCGATGCCTCGGGACTGAGACTGTGAGTAGTGGGGCTAACACATGAGTGGTGATTGTGGGATTGCAGCGACGACGGTTGGTCTTTGACTTCTTTTCCGGTGGAAGTCGCAGGCGGCGCATCTTAAGAACTCCGACGAGCTCTCGTCTCCGGTGGCAGGCGCACGTGGCTGAGGTGGTGCTGGGCTGGATTGTTTGAATTTGTTGTTGTGGTGGTTGTGGGAGGCAACTAGATCAGGCTTGAAATCTTGGTATTGAAGTGGTTGCGGTGGTGTCGAGGGCTGAGCTGCTGGTTGTTGTCTTGCAGCGACAGAAGGTTACAGTGGCAGTGATCTAAGGTTTGGGTGGGGATGGAAATTGAGCTGCTGCGGAGAGGGTTCACCGGCGACGATTCTTGGAAAATAGAACCCGGCACCTCCCTTTCCTTACCTACTACTCTTTTCATGAAATTAAAAATTAATATGTGAAAATCTTGGACAATTTCTTCTTTTCAATTGAACTTTTTAATTTTACCCACAAATTCTAAATGTTGCCACGAATGCGTGGGGGGGAGGGGGGGTAAAATGGGGATATAGGTTAAAGAATATTCCATCGAATTATTAACTATGTAAGACAACTGTCAAATACAGGGGTGGATTTTCGTAATCACACCTTACCTCCGAGGGGGTGGTGGTAATTTACCCTAATATAAATGACAGTGAAGAGTACTAGAACTATATTGAAACGAATACTTTCTCTGATCTTCCCAAATATGAATACAAGACAATTGAAGCAGAAATGATAGTGGTGTGTGTGTGGGCCATTCATTCATTTATATTGAGAAAGCCTCTGAAACTCTAATAAATAAAAATGAAGCTACTTACTAAAACAAACAGAAGATGATTAATATAAACTTGTTGACAGACAGTTTTCTAAAGCAAGGTAGGATACTTGGCATCAAGAAAATCTCTCAATGTTTTTGCAGCTTTATGACCACCCATCAATACTGCTAGCTTCTCCATTGGAAGTTGCACAAATTCTGCCAAATTTTTACACCCATCCATTACTGACCTGTAGTTTGAATCTGTAATTCCAGGTAGCCGTCTAAGGAACTCGACAGCTGATGTATTTAAGTTTTCCGCTCTGCCAACCAAAATAAACTTTTTTCTCATTATATCATCTCTACACTTTTATTAGCTTTCAGCCTTCCATTATTTAGTCATCAAACTCACAATTCAATTCAACATGTGTGTGCTTGGAACAAACATCTAACTTTTACTGAGATGTTTATCACTAGCAATAAGGAACTTACAGACAACGAGAAGAAACATTACGTACCTAATATCATTTTCGATAATGCCATCCTCCGATGGGACACCAATCCTAATTGCCTTGCCCACATCTGGCTCATCCTGGTTTACTTTAAGCATGGCAAATATTTCAGCAGTAGCGTGCAAACTGCGAGACCAGACGATACGGAGACGGGGAAAATGAAGAACAAGCAGTGATAACTTTGACATTATGCTATTTGGTGTAACATCATCACCAATCTCACTTGCAGACTGCACCACACACACACGCACAAAAAAAAATTGTAATTTTATTTAATAACGAGTACTTCCTAGTCATAAAAGCAACCTGAAGTGTATTAAGAACCTGGAATGAAAAGCTTTTATCTTGTGAAAACTCGATCAGCAGAACAGGTATCCGATAGCAACGTGACATCATTTCCACCTGGTGATACAAACGACCAGATGAAAAACTGCCAAAGAGATCTTGTATACTCTTACGCTCGACACATATCAATGGGGATACTATGTAATCTCCTACTTCCAATGTCACTGGTATAATACGCATGCCCTTCTGGTGGAGCACATTTGGAAGGCTGCTCATAAATTCCCTCATGTCAACTATGATCTGGAATAAATTATGGATACAATGTTAAAAAAAAAAAAATACAACTTAAATGAACTAATGGTTTCAATATTCACCACCTACCTGCATTTCCTTTTCAGCTTCCTTCCTCCCACCAGCTTTTCGGGTAATCACATTTTGGGCGGCAATTGATTGCGGCTCTTGTGAAGAATTTACGCCAAGAAACTGCTCATCCTGATTGGACCAAGCAACCACCAAAATGAGTATTCATAATGCAATAATTGCAGCAACATACCAACTGATATCATGCTAAAATATCAAATCATTTTTTGACAGTTTACATCAGCCTAGGCAAGATGACAGAATAAGCAGTATCTGAGAATTTTAATAAGTTTATATATAAACAATGAATCTGGTTGCTCAGGTTGAACGTTGCATAACTTGTAATCCGACATTTCTCTTGCAAAATAGTAGAATCAACATTGACGTAGACTAACTTCCTTTTAGCATCTAACATTCACAAATACGAGCTAGATAAACAGAGCATGGATATCTCCATCCATCTATTGGACAAAGCCGGTCCAGTTTTCATTTTTGATTTGTGAAAAATCTTTGACTTGTATTTTGTAGGACTTAGGTATAATAATGTTAGATAATATTTAGGAGGTATATTCTACCTTTTTCAAACTCCAGTTATTTTGATCCTCTCTTTCCCCCATGTCTATACAGTAATAGGATCTTTCAATAAGCATGTCCTACATACCTTCCACCAGTCAAGTACCAGACAGACTCACCAAAGGACTTCCTATCTAACTTAAGGTGATTCAACAACCTTTTTTTAGTGTCAATACAGAACTCATAATAGCTCCCCAAGTATCTGAGGGTTTTGTTAGGTATAGTTTCAAGTTCATTAGGAATAAAATATAAGCAGCTGATTCTAACTCAGAGATAAAATATACGCATCTCAATAATAGGAAGCAAAATGATGGGTCTGCAGAACATCCTAGCCACCACTTACAATGTTATATTCACGATCTACGGGTCTAGAAATAAAATTAATCAAGTCAGTAGAAATGAAAGGCATGAATGTTTGGAACCTGACAACATATAAACTCTGGGAGCATAATGTAAATGTACAAAAGCAAACCTGACAGACTGGTATCATCATAAGAGATTTCTGCCTGATCAGGGACTCAAATGCTCCATTTTCTCTACGTACACTTGCATCGAATTTCTGAACCTCAGTGGAATCTTCATAGAATAGAAAGTACACTTTTAATCGCTTCGATGGATTTTCAGATTTGTAAATTTCTATTTCTCTGACAAAAGCGATGTCAGGGTGGTAAACAATTATGACAGAGGGCTGTAAAATATCAAGTAAACTCTGATTACTCTCCAGGGCATGGAAATGAACTGATGAGAAGGCACTGTTATTTTCTGGTCCTTGATCATCATGCTTTTGAAGAACACATCTATAGTTACCTTCAGTAGCATCACCAAGAAGATGACCAGCTGCCGACAGATTCTGGTCATTTACTGTTTCTTTTTGGTTTGAGTGAGGAGTCTCGGATTGAATACTAGTTTCACATTCACGATCAGTTTTACCAATCATTTGTTTTTTGTTTTTTCTTCCATTTTTCTTTCCTTTAGCATGTTCTTCATTGGCCCCACCATCTTTCACATCAGTATCCTTTTTTGCTTGTTTACTTATTTCATATGCTGCAGCCATCAGCGCATCATTTTCGGGCTTGCTTATGCTACTAACTTCGGCTTTTTGTCCGGAAACCGACGGAATAACTCCATCAAGAACCCCAAAACCTTTAGGTGCTTTCGGTTTCTTCTTATCATATTTTGGTAGAGCCTGGAGCTCCACTTTGCTTAGCAAATATTTTTCCCATTCCTCTTGCATCACCTTTACAAAAAGCAAGTATAATGTTTCAAATTAGCATATATAACTTAATTGTTTACTGATATATATCAAATGCATAAGCCAAAGGCATTATTTAGTTTTCTTGGATCCTTAATTAAATAGTTATTGCCGTACAGTTTACTGATATCAAGAACCCCGGTGGATAGCTGTAACATTGAAAACCAAGAAAAACATTATCCCCATTTTTCTCTATATATAACACATTTCAACTTCTTAAATAACATTAGCAACATCAGAGT